AAATATTTATATAAAAATATTTAGTTATATTTAAGTAAAATTTAAATTCTTAATAAAAAATAATTTATATTATTTTAAATAAAGTTGTAGCTCTTTTTTATAACTACAAATATATAAGTTTAATTATATTATTATATTATTAATAATTGTTTATTTGTAAAAAATCTAACTTTATATATAAATATTATTTATTTTAAGTTTATTTAGAAAATTAATTAATATATGTTTATATTATTAAGAAATAATTAATTATTATTATTAAATTATTATTTATTTATTTATAAAATTTTGTTATAATTAAATTATAATAATTTTAATAAGAATTATCATAATTTTGGTCGAAATTATCATAATTTTGATCAGAATTATGATAATTTTGATTAAAATTATTATAATTCCAATTTTAATGTTAATTAACATAAAATATCTTTATAATTATACCTCTCTATAGTCATCCAATTTAGCTTTTCCAACAGTAGTGACTATAGAGAGATTTAACTGTATAATTATACAAATTGAATATGATATCTTATAATATAATATATAATTTATTAATTGATATATCTAGAATTTGATGACTTGTTACTAATGATAAATGACTATTTACAACAATTAACTTTACAAATATTAGGTATTACACCTCATAATGCTGGATGTAAACATATATTTTTCACTTTCAGTTAGATTTATAGCAAATAGTAATTATGGTTATCTACTATAAAAGTTGAAGCAATAGTTAAAATTTGATCATTTTATATTATAAATATTAATAAGAAAGTAAAATATACAAATTAAAATTATAATGCACAAGAATTAAAAATTATAATAGAAAAATTGATGAATAATATGAAGGAAAAAATTGAAAACAATGATAATAAAAGTAATGAAGATGAAGAAGAATAGAAATTCCAAATCAAGATATATTTGTATTAATTAAAAATATAGTTAATTTAAATTCAGTATCATTTATTAATAATAATGAAAATATTGAATTAAATATAGATAATAAAACAGAGAAGGAGGTGAAGAAAAATAATAATATTAGTAAAGAAAGCAGTAAAGAGTAAAGAATTATATGATATAATATTCAATCATAAATTACTAATTATAAAGATAATAATTAGATAAAATTTTATTATTTAATTTCTATTTTGAATTATAAATAAATATTATTTTTTATTATTTGTATTATAAAAACATTAAATATTACAGTTATTATTAAATATTATTATTATTAATATTATTATTTCTATTTTGGATTAGAAAAAAATAAACAAGAATTTTGATTTTGATTGAATAGATATGATAGATCATTTGATTAATTGATTAACAAAGAGATCAGATAATAATATTAAATTTTACTTTATAAGTAAAGAAAATTTTTTATTTCAAGAAAAAGTCAAATTTTAACAAATATATATACAAGATTAAATACAAGACTAAATACAAACCAAAATAAGTTTAAACAATAAGTTTTTAAAGAAATATTATATAAAATTAGTTTTTATTTTTAATAAAATCACTATAATATATTATAATAATAAATAATGAGAGTAATAGCAAATTATAGTAATAAAAGAAATAATAACAAAAAGAGATAATGTATATGATAAAGCAAAATTATATTAAAATATTATAGTATTTTCTTGAAATTTTGTTAAAAAAATTGATAGCAATGAGTTTTTTTTATTTTATTTTTTTTACTTTATTTTTTTTATAAGTTTTGTTAATATATAATTACAATAATAAAATATATATTTCTATTTACCCATGCTCTTTTTATCTATATAAAACTATAATAGCATTAAATATATAATTATCAAAACAAAATTATATTAATGAAGATAATTAATTAATTACTTAGTGAATTATTTTTTTCTATACAATGTAATAAAGATCTATAGTGCTAAATATGGAAGTTCTGTTTCAGATCTATCATTGATATTACACCATTTTTTCAAATTATTACTATAAAAAATAAAATAGAAGCTTTGTCATAGATGCAGTTATTGTTTTTATATAAGACAGATCTAGAATCTGACTGTTTCCTCTCTCAATAACTCTATTTTATAATAAATAGTTTTTATTTATTTTTATTTTTATTTTTAATAATCAAAAATAATTTAAAGTTATAATGATTTTACTAATTTATTTTTTAATTATTTAATAGTTATTTTTGACAAATTTATTGAATCTCTTACTGAAATAAATTGCAATTATCCTGAAGAATATAATAAAATAATTGCCAATCCAATACCAGAATTAATTAATATCAGATCACTATATTTTAATACAACTTTTGATAATATTGATAATATAAATTTTTATATTGTATTTTAAAAATATTATTTTTGTTTAATCTTTATTAATAATTTATAATATTGAATTATAAAATACTTGTCCAACTAGTGAAAGTATTAGAATCTATTTCTTTTTATACTCTCTTTCAATTATCTAGTATTCAACTCTCTCAAGTATACACAAACACTATTATTATTTTTATATAATTACTATAATTAGTTTATACTTTACCTATTAATATAAGAATGATAACAATATATTTAATAAAATCAAATCAAATAATTTATAATATTAATTATTATGATATATAGTATTAATTATATAAATAGTAGAATTAATTTTATTTTTTTTATAGTAATTAATTAAATTATTAATTAGTAATTAATTGAATAACTATATATTGTTATTATATTTTATAAGTTCTTAAAAGAGATAGTGAGTACTTAATAATATTATAATAAATTATTTGATCAAGATAATTATAATAAAGTTTATTAAGAATTATGAATAAAAAAGTATAATATAATCAAATTTATATAATGCATTAAGTATTAAATTATAATTATAACAAATTTAAAAAAAGATAATAATATATTTATAATATAATCAGCTAGAATAAGATTTGGAATTTTTAATAATAGTATTTAATTAAAGGATTTTATATAATAAATATATAATTTCATTATAAAATCATAATTTAATAATAATAAAATATAATTTTATTATTAGATGAATTTATCATTAATTTATTATATGTTTTTAATTGTTATTTATTATTCTTGAGATTCTGAGAACTATAAAACTAATTAAATTACTAGCTAAAATATATTACTTTTATTAAATTTAATTTAGTTATTATATAGTTAATTTCTAGCACTTTTATTGTTGTTATTGCTTGGATTGCTGTTATTACTTGAATTACTTGGATCACTTACACAATCCAATGAATCAATTATTAATATCTCAAATCTTATCTAATGAAATATAATAAAATAATATTCAATTAAATTTATAATATAAATTAACTAATTAAATTTATAATATAAATTAATCAATAAAATAAGAACTAAATATTCATATCATAACAATATTAATAAGATATTATAATATTAAAATTATTAAATACAAAAATATAAAAATATATATAATATTAATTATAATATATTATTATTTTAATTTTTTTAATTAGTATTTATATGATAAAAGATCTTTTAATAGAATTTCTTTCAAAGTTATAAGAAAAATTATAAAACAAAATAATTTTATTATTAATGAAAATTATATATAATAAAAATTATGAATTTAAAATAGTTATTTTAATATTTTTTTATTACTATACTTTTACTATTATTATATTTTGTAATAAATTATATAAATATAAATATATAATATAATAACAAACTTATTAAATTATTTTAAATCTAAACTAAATTTTAAAACAAAATTTTATTTTTTACTTACAAAATAAAAATATTATTTTTATATAAAATTATAAAATATTTATAATATTAATTATAAAAATAACAAAAGATTAAAAGATTAAAAAATCAAAAGATTAAAATATTTGTTATATTAATTAATAATATAAATATTCAATAAAATACAAATAATTATAAATTGACAAAATAATAAATATAAAATATTCAATAAGAATATAATATAATATTATTTAATAAAATATAAAGAATAAAATATATTATAATAATATTAATAATAATATATAATATTAGTTATAATATACGTATAATTATATAATATATAAAAACAAAAATTATAGCTTAGTTATAATCTATAAATATTATAATTCTAAATTATAATATAGTAATATGTTTGCACTTTTAATAGTTATATTTCTTTATAATCATTTTATTTTGCTTTTTTATTTATATATAAATATAATAAAAAATTTATCTATAGTTACATTTTTGAGTACTAATTCTAAAAATAATTATTTTAGATTTTTATAACAAAATATATATTATAAAAGTAATACGTATTAGCCAATTAAAAGTCAAGTTTTTCGTAATACACAAGATATAAAAGCACTTACCATAATTTTAAAAAGTTTATATAATCAATTCTATGTTTCTATTCTATAAATGCACATCTTGGTTTGGTCCCAAATTAATAATATTACCAAGTAAAATGCTCTATAAATGCACAAACTCTCTAAATGCACTCTCAGGTTTGATTTTCATATGTCTTTCGGCAGTGTGCATTTAGAGAGTCGACTGTGTCTTGAAATTTTGTCTATGAAACTGTTTTTTGTGTTCTGACTATGAAATATTTTCTATAATAGGTACTCTTATATCGATATATAACCCTAACCGAAACTTTCCATCATCTATGCGCCACAAAAACCTGACACAGGTTTGGTAAATGCTATAAAGAGTGACAAAAAAATGTACATATAACGATAGCGAGAAACATTTTTTGTTAGAACTCAAAAAATCGCCTAACCAAAATGGATTGGGGTGTACAAACAGGTTTTTGACTTGTGTGATGTAACAGACCCGGTTTCTTTAATATTAATAACTATAAACATTCAGTATCAAAAATCCTAATACATGTACTATAGTATAGTATATAAAATTATCACCAGCACTCTTTCCAACAACGTGAACTGTAGAACCCAAATATGCATTCATTGTTGCATGAGAAATGGATGGCACTGTTTTCTGGTTTGTATATGAGCGAGAATGCTGTCACGAAAGTCTCGAAACATTAGAGAAATATTAACGAATGTTAATATTAAATCAGGAAAATCTGAACATCGATTCAATTTGCAACAATTAGATAATCAATTAAAAGGATGCGAATATTATACGGTAACTACTTGGATAAATATTATTAGTTTGTTTTTATTAGAAATAGTTTAATTTATAATTTATTATATAGAAGTTGAAATTAACTGAACCCGGAAGACAACTTATATATAAAGGCACAATGAAGAAAAGATATTGTGCAGGAGAATCATCTGATCTTCAAGTTTTCTTGTTTGATCATGTTTTATTAATGGTGAAAATAAAAGAAGTTGATAAAATAGAGCAATATAAAATATATCGAAAGGTAATTCATCTATAATAATAAATATTATTGGTTTATCAATATTTATTTATTATTATGTATAAATTTTCCGGCAGCCGATTCCTCTAGAATTGCTTGTTACATCTGTAACTGAAAATATTCAAAAAATTTCTAAACCGACTTCGATTTTTCCAGCCAAAGCTCCCGCTATCATAAACAGTATTCGTGATAAGCAATATGCATTGACCTTTACCTGCATAGGGAAGAAAGGATTTTCAGTTACATTATATGCGTCTACAATTATAAGTCGTAATAAATGGATAGAACATATTGAAAAGCAACAACAGTTTTTGCTTGATCGAACTCAAGTTTTTGAGAAAACTACTTTTTTAGATGGAAAATATTTCGTTGGCACAAATAAAGTTAATTGTGTTGCTTTTTTTGGTAAGTTATTTTCTATATTTTTACATTTGATCTTGAACTTCTTTAATTAACTTATTGCTTGATTTCTGATAGATGATTATCAAAAATTGGCACTTGGTACAGAGGAAGGTGTTTATGTTGCAGATATTGGACAAAATCCAAAACAGCCTATTCAGGTTTTGCATTTAGAAAAAGTATCTCAAATTGCGGTAATAGAAGAGTTTCGATTACTTTTAATTTTGGCTGGTAAAGTTTTCCTCAAGTATATACCATTGTAAGGTATGCATTTTAATATTACATTATGGTCTGATCAAAATTTTTACATTTGATATTTCCTTATGAATAGATAAAATATTCTATTGGCTTCCAGTTGAAGCTTTGGACCCTGGAGATACAAATAATTCTAATAAGAAACCGCGTAAGATCACTTCGAATGCAAATTTCTTCAAATATGGAGTATGCTTAGATAAAACATTAATAGCAGTGGTTAGAACTTACGGTTTGGCGCAATCAACTATAAAGACATTTGAACCAATTGAACAAAGCATCAAGAGTAAAATAAAAGGTTCCATATTAAATGAAGCTCTTAAAGCATATAAGGTGTATATTTTTTTATATTTATCTGATATTTTATAGTTAGTATCCGTAGTTGATGTATCAAATTAAATAATTTTTACAGGTCTTCTATATACCCCGTAAATCAATATCAATCCATTTTTTGAAAAAGAGTCTATGTGTGGGATGTACAAAAGGATTTGAGATTATAAATATGGAAACTCTTACAACCCAAACTCTATTAGATCCTGCTGATGCTACTCTTGATTTTGTTCAAAAGAGAGAAAATGTCAAACCAATTGCGTTATTTAGAACTCCTAATAGTCGTGGTGATCGCTTGTTATGTTACGATGGTAAGCATATTTTT